CTGGGGCTGGGGTTGGGGCTGGGACTGCAGCTGCAGCTGGGGCTCAGGCTGCGGCTGCGGCTCAGGCTGAAGCTGAGGCTCAGGCTGAGGCTGAGGCAGGGGCTGGAGGTGAGCCACAGGCTCAGGCTGGGGCTCAGATTCTTTCTCTTCTTTTTCCTCAGGCTCATTTTCCATTTCTAGAGCACTGGCATTCTCTTTCACGGGAGAAAGAGATTTACATTCTTTATCTGGCTCAACTTCAAATTCCATCTCTGGCTCCAGTTCTTTGCTAGTTTCATTTTCTGAAGGTTCTACACTTTCCACTTGATTGGTTTCCATTACCTCCTGCTCAGCAATTACATTTTTGACACTCTCGACCATCTCTAGCACATCCATAACTTCTTCCGGTTGACTATCCTGCTGCTTCTCACTTTCCCTTACCTCAGTTTCCTCCTCCATCTTGACCTCCATTTCCTGTTTTTGTTCCTCCTCCTCCTGTTCTTTCTCTGCATCACTATGAACTATACCTATTTCCTTTTCCTCTTCCTCTCCTGCTTCCTCTATTTCTACATCATTGTGCTGATTACCTGTCTCCTCCAACTCTTCCTCTCGCTGAGCCACCTTACCCTCTTCTTGTTCCGCCTTCTGTTCTTCATTACGCACCACCTGATGCTCTTTTTCCTTCATTGATTGTCTTCTAGGCCTAGCCTCCATTTTATTTATTTGTTCTGCAAATTCGATGCGTCTACCTTCAAATAAAGCTAAAGGATAAAAATTTACTTGTAAATAATTAAGAACATTCAAACTCACAATCTGACACTTAGGCACAAATTGTCATCAAGCTTTATCTAAATTTTTTTTGTAAAGAGATGATGACACAAGACTGATTATGGCAAGTAATTACAAACAAATAAAATGACACAAGCAAAGACCCCCAGAAACCTATATACTAAGATATTAGTAGCAGGTAACTACACCACATTAACTGATGGAAAAACAGGACAATTTTTTGCTATTTTACTTCACACTAGAGGAGAAAGAATAAAACCCATCTTTGAAATAAAATCATTCTTATGCTATCATGTCATGCATTAATTTTTCCTGATCCCAGAAAGACTAATTATCTAATCCCATCTCAGTAGTGTCTATCCTTCCATGTATGCTCCTTCTCTGGATTACATCAATGTTCACTTTTTTCTTGCCTCATTAGCATTTACATCTGGCTAAAAAGAAGTCATCTTATTCAAATGCTTCTTAAGAAATACACATACATCAAGCACTACCTACAACATGGTAAATTTCAGGTTAAATTCCATCATAAGTCAAATGCTGAATCACAATTATAGGAAACTAACATGTATGTGTGAGTAGATTACCTTAGCCATTTAGAAAATTTCACTGGACCTCTTCATGTACACTTACCATTCATTTTTCTCTGTGACTCTTCTATTAATTTTTGGGTAGCTGGACACATTCTTCCAGGAATATAGAACAAATGGGGCTTTGTCTTAGTTCTTATATATTTAATTATCTTGGCATTATGTTCATTCCATTCTTCTTGCTAAAGAAGAGGTAAAAGGTCATGTTTTGTAAACATGAAGGATTACCAATCTTAAAATTCCAATTCCAAACTACTACTCACCAGCTGCGCAAGCTCAACCTTCTGTTCTAAAAGGCGCAGTTCTGTCTGTTTAGCACGCCTCTCTTCAAACAGTTCTCTCCTCTCATTTTCAACCTGCTTTCTTTCTTCTTCTGCCTGCACTTCAAGTTTTTGTTCAATTTCCTGGCGCCTCTTTTGCTGAAGATAAATAATTATCTTTGAAAACTTATTACATATCCTGATTATGTAAAACATTACAACTTCACTAAGTTATCTTTTTAGGTTTCATATTTGCAATTCAGGATACCAGTTAATTCAAACTTAGTACTTAGCATTTGAGGCTAATTGCAATTTCTTTCAAGAAACGGGGACTAAAGCCTTTCCGTGTAAAAATCTAAATGTCAAGGACATTAGACATATTATCAGTAACTGTTCCACTTAAATATAACTGTTAGCAAGACTCTTTCATAAAACCTAAAAAAGAAGAGCACCGTCTCAGTTATCTTCACAGTTACTCTTCCTTTCAAATCAAAGAATGTGACAGAAGTGACATCCTGTCTTCAAACACTGTGCTTTGAAGCCTTTTATGTTCCCTAGTAAAGTTAACATACAAAAGCTGTAATAAAATTTTATTAATCTATAACTGAATTGTTATCTCCCTTTCCACCATAGTTCTCCTTTGAAAAGCAGTAACTTGATATTGAACACCAAGGACCCAATTTTGTAGCTTTAATAAAAAACCTCCAGAAAGACTGCAGTTAAGTAAACTGTGGAAGGCAGGTAATGTTTAGGCTTTTGCTTCCAGCATGCCAATTGTTGTCTGAGTATATAAATAACTTAAAAGCTATAATCATTGAACTAGTTACAATGCTGAGTTCAACTCCCTTGTTTGAAAGAAAGCACTCTGAGGTGTAAAGAAATGAAGAGTCTTGTCCAAAACCACAAAATGAGATGGTTGTAGAGCTGAGATCAGAACCCAGGTTCTCCTGAGTCACAGACCAGGGCTCTTTGCACTGAAAGAGGACCCAGGACCCTGGAATCATGACCTGAGCCAAAGGCAGACACTTAACCGACTGACCCATCCAGGCGTCCCTGTAATAAACTACTTTTGAATAAAGAATCAAAGGAAAACTGTATAAATACCCTTTCAGTAGCAACAGTGGATTCTTGTTTAAATTTCTGAAGAGTGCCCATCAGTAAGCCAAATATTCGTCGGTTCCTAAAGAAGAGAGAGAGAAAATTCAATTTCGGTAGGTTCCACTTCATTTAAGCCTGCCATTTCGTAAAAGAAACATACTACAGACACTTGAACAATTCTTAAATATAAATTTTCTAAAAATTGCATTGTTTGACAGGAATTTTTCCCCATAAAAAAACCTAAAGATACCTTTGCTTTCCCTTTTCATCCATATTTTGATCCTGGATAAGGTCTCTACGTGTGCGCTCTTTGGAGGTAGCTACAACTGAAGACTGCAAAGCTGGCTGCAGGAGAAAATAAATCTCAGTAATTTAACAAGCACATGAAAAGGTGCACTCTTAAATGTAGCAAAGATGGAAAAACCGTTCATCCCGTAAGTAGTTCTTTTCATCTCAATTACCTTTTTAACATCATCATCCTCTGGGTCGCTTTCTTGGCGTGATTCTCTCCTTGTCCGACGCTCCCCGCCCAGCCTGACATAGGAAAAAGAATTTAAAAGACCACTGTAAAATCTGACTTAATACCAAGGACAAATGATTACTTCTACTATGACTTATTTCCAGAAGTCTCATTTTATCAATCTCCATCCCATTTTACTCTTTCCTGTAGTAGTAAAAGGATAAAATGTGTCACCAATGCCCAATCCAAATACTGATCTATATTTCTCAAGAGGATCAAGTTTTTACAGTACAAGACAGAAAAGTAGCACAAACTATTTTCTCAATCTTATTCTCGTGATCTTTATTTTGGTAAAGTTTCTGTTACTGTTAGTGAAAAACTGAGTTCTGAGGAATACAGACTTAGTTCAGCCAAATACCAAGGGAACAGACTCAGCTGAAGTGGTATACTACTTAATTCTAACACAACTCAACAATATTTATTAAATAATTATATCTGCGGCTACCTCAGAAAAAATAAAGCATACAGGTATGTCTTGAGAACCTTTTCCTCCAACGTACCTACTGACTGCCCCTTCAAGGTCTCTCTGTTTGGCTGGGGGTCCTCCTCCACTATCTGAGAATCCACGCCTGCAATTAAAAATGTGCAATATAAAATAAATGAAATTTAAGATAAATGATATTTACCTTTAGCAAGATCATTTAGTTGAATTAAAAAAAAACCCTTCCAATTACACAACCTTAAATGGGCATCCACTTCCAAGATGCTTTTTAGCACTTTAAAAAAATGTAAAAATTAAGTGTACACAAAATGGGTAGTTTATGTCTTCTTCGGTCTCTAGTTTTGCATATAAATGAAGTTCCAAGATAACTATATAGGAAACTATAGCTGATCACAACTTTAAACAAAACAAACACAAACATATCTAACGTGGGCTCTACCACCAATTTTGTTTAAACCAATACTTAATTAATAAAAGTATCTATGGTCTTAGCATATAAATTAAGTCCTAAGAGAATCTTACCTCAGCAATAAACTACCACGTCCTCTACCTCCACCAGGACCAGAAAGGGCCAGCAATCTGGCTTGGATGGGCCTAAAAGGTATTTACAAATCAGTATGAAAATCACTTATTTAATGTCACCAAATACTTTCATGGATGCGGTACATCATAAAAAGAAAAATAACCAGAAAAGTTCTAAAAATACGGTTTCAAATCCACGTGCTTGAAACAAGACAGGAAGTCCTATTTTAACTTCCTTGTTTTTTCAAGACCAGTATCACAGAAATTACATTTACTTCATTGCCACTACACATTAATAAACTTTGATCAGGCCCTAATTTCGCCAACTCCGAGGAAGCTGCACGTGGGCAAGAGGGCAAAAGCGCGGGGGACAGGCGGCGGACTGCGTCCCAGGAGGGTCTCTGGGCCAGCACCCGGCCAGGTAGCCGCCGGATGGGGAAGGGGCTTTGTGCTGCAGTTCCGGGCCTGCAGGGCCGAGGGCGGGAATCGGCAGCCCGGGCCTTCCTACAGACCAGGGAGGCATCCCGGCATAGGTAGAACCCACTCTCTTTCCTCGCGCACCTGAGCTCCGAGACCGACGGCGAGGGCGTGGGACACTCCCCACCTCATCCAGGACCGGATTCTACCGCCGCCCCGGGAACAGGCCTAGATGTTCTAGCCTTCTCAAGGCTAGCCACCCTTCCCGCCCCCAATTCACCCCGGCATGATGGCTGTCTCTCAGCCGGCCTTTCTTATCCGCCTCTTACCTCACGTCATTCGGATCCCGTCCGGTGAGCTTGCGAATATTCTCATCTACGTTCTTTAGGCTCTCTTTGGCCTTTTCTAGCTGCTCCTGCAAAGTTCTTACCGCGACCGCCATCTTCTCTCTGCAGCAGGCTTCGAGACGGCTCTACAGGCCGCGACTGGCTGTGTCGCGCCGCGAGACGCGTGAGGACTGACAGCAGGGTCCAGCCAATGACAATAAGCGTTGTTTTACGGCCTCAACCACTCAGCGTCCGGAAGAGGGAGAAGCTGCCGGCCTCTGTGACTCTGGGCCAATGAAAAGTCTTCTGGGCGGTTGGCTCCCTCCCCGAATTAGCTGCGGTGGCCGGGCTCGCTTCTAGCGCAGAGCCTGGGCGCGTTTGAGAGTCTCAGGGTCCTCGGAGGCGCCGGTTCACGGCCCTGCTCCTGTGGCGCGGGGCGCGGAGCGCGGAGTTTTCCAGCCCTTTTAACCTGGGATATGACGTGCCTTGTATCTTTTTAACCACCTAATTACATCAGAGTGGGATGAAGGCGAGTCTTTTCCCCTCTTCCCGGGTAAATGATCAGATTAGGAAAGGGTGCGGCCATTCTGTCGGTGCGCATGCCCAGAGAGGGTTGGAGGGGGTGGTGCAGGCGTCTCTCCATTGGGTTAAACCAAAATGAGCAGAGGGAAGCAAAAAATGAACATGAAAAGTCATTAATCGTAATAGATAACAATTTTTTTTTCAGTACGGTATGAAACGTTTTATATACCTTGTCTTTAACTCAAAGCTTGAATAAAATGCTTGTTATTACTGATAAGGAATTTGAATCTGGAGATAACTAACTCCCTAGGTCACGGCAACTGATAATCACTATTTGATCAGACCCTGTGGAAGGGTGTACTAGATTAAAAAAAGCAACGACGAGACCTGTGAGGCTGGCATTATTGTCTACACCTGGCCTATACGGCTGGTTAGTTTAAGATGGGGTCTGGAGCTCATTGTTACCTGTGTGTATACGACAGTGTCCTCTAACTTGTGGTTCTGTTCTATGTACACAGACAACATAAGAACCGTTTTGTTCCAGAAATGCATTTGCAAATTACTGCTCACTGCTCACAAAGCATTTCCCCACAGAAACAATGTTATGAATAATCTTAGTTCTCATCATCTTTTAGCCGGGCATCAACCTTGCACCAAGCATTAGTAGGACAACAGTGTTTAACTCGAGTTACCATCTTAATTTGTCTATCTTTAAAAGTTCCTTTGTGCATCAGCAGTAATCTAGGCTCTGAGGATAAAACCTAGAACAAGATCGCTGTGGTTCCTGTTTTTGTGGGGTTTGTAGGCTCCTCCGGGAGCAAAAATCATTTATGTACTCATTCATTCATTCATTCAGTAGTATTTGCTGAGCGCTTACTATGTGCCAGGCACTTTTCTAGGTACTTGGAGAGTGCAATAAAGATCTCTGCCTTCAAGGAGCTTGGGGGCAGGAAAAGTATGGAGACAGAGGATAAATATAAGTAAATTACATGGCATGTTAGAAATGGAGAAGTTCTTTTGGAAAAAAAAATAAAACTGGGTAAAAGGGATAAGGGTCGTTAAATTGATTCTGATTGTAAGCATGAGAATGTGGTAATAGTAGATACTAACCACCAAAGGTAACAATGTTTCCATGAGAAAATGCTTTTATTTATTTATTTTTAAGATTTTATTTATTTATTTGACACAGAGAGAGACGAGCGAGGGGACATAAGCAGGGGCAGAGGGAGAAGCAGGCTTCCCACAGAGCTTGGAGCCTGATGTGGGGCTGGATCCCAGGACCTTGGGATCATGACCTGAGCCAAAGGCAGACGCTTAAGGACTGAGCCACCCAGGCACCCCGGGAAGAGGCAACCAAAAACATAGGATCTTTTCCTGCTTCCCTAGGACCTATTACTAGGATCCTGGGCAATTTAACGTAGTCAGCTTTATGGGGGACCCCCCCATTGGGGGTTGTTGTGTTCAACATTTAGTAATAAATACTAGTTTCCCATCAATTCCAAAATACTCTAAGAACCCCATGTTATTTGAGAAATCAACCTTAGTAAGTTGGTCAGTTGGTTACTCTTTGACCTCAATGGTGGGCTTGGACTCCTTTTCCTTGATGGTAATGATGAAGGGAGAATGCAGTCAGGACATAAGGGATATGATTCCACATATGGGAAATTTGGGTGCTAGGAAAATTAAGATTATGGCTGCAAAATAATCTCTGAAATTACACTAGTATTATTAAATAACAAAAATTCAACAGAGTAAATTTTAAAGATACAATTAGTTTTATTAATTGATTCATGAATTGGGCAGCATTCCATCTAGCATGCAGAGGAGAGTTCCAAAAGTCTACAGAAAGGGAAAGATTTTTACAGGTAGGACAAGGAAGTCATAAACAGAAAAAAGGATTATTTCAGGTGAGGTCACCTTCCTTTGGGAACAAGAGGGTCTAATTAGGTGTATTACTACCTCATCTACCTTTGGGGGTTGGAGAAAGCCTCTCTGACAGATTATCTTATTGGTATTGACCAGAAAAGTTCGTAACTTACCAGTTAAGACTACGTTTCTGGTGGAGGAAACTGCAATTAGGTTAAGTATTAAGCTCTAATTTGATGACATGGCGTAGCAAAAATGACTCCCATTTTGGGCCTGTGGTTTTCTTTTTAACAGTGTTTTCAAAGGCTTAGGTGGAATGTTTATGTGATCAAAAAAACATGCAAACATTAGAAGGGACATATTTAAGAAAAAAGTTGCCATAATTCCAATTATGGAACATCATCTTAATTTTTTTTTTAAAGATTTTATTTATTTATTTGAGAGAATGAGCAGGAGCAGAGGGAGAGGGAGAAGCCGACTCCCGGCTGAGCAGGGATCCCGACCTGAGCCAAAGGCAGACACTTAACTGACTGAGCCACCCAGGCAACTCTGGAACATGATCTTAAATTCCTGTGAAAGAATATGGAGAGTTGAGCGGTTATTGTTTTTTTTGGTTTTTTTTTTTTAAGACGTTTATTTTTTTTTAAAGATTTATTTATTTGACAGAGAGAGACACAGCGAGAGAGGGAACACAAGCAGGGGGAGTGGGAGAGGGAGAAGCAGGCCTCCCGCGGAGCAGGGAGCCTGATGTAGGGCTGGATCCCAGGACCCTGGGACCACGACCTGAGCCACCCAGGCGCCCCTGAGCGGTTATTGTTAACAACTAGAGAAAATTCAATATGTAAACTTGGGGGAAGCATTAAATTAAATTAATTATATTAATTGGGAAAGAATCTTCCTCGTGAATTACTAAGAAAAGAATCAATTACAGGCTAAGCAACAAGTTTAAGCCAGAACTTGACAAATTTAAAAGGTGCATATATATGTGTTTGCATCTCTGTAGGAGTTAAATCCCATATCTGCCATAGATAATAGGCTCCTTTTCTAAAAGATTTTATTTGTTCATTTGTCAGAGAGAGAGCACAAGCAGGGGGAGCTGCAGGCAGCAGGCTCCCTGCTGAGCAAGGAGCCCTATGTGGGACTCATCCGATCCCAAAATCCTGGGATCATGACCTGAGCAGAAGAGAGACAACCGACTGAGCCATCCGGGCGTCCCTGCCATAAATTCTTATGAGCTACTTCCCACAATGAGGTTGCTTTTCTGGTCTTCACACTTTTCCATGCACCTAATCGTCTGGTTCTGTATTTTGTTTCAAGTGTACCTTGTTGTTGTTTTTTTTTTAAAGATTTATTTATTAGAGAGAGAGACAGCGAGAGCAGGAACACAAGCAGGGGGAGTGGGAGAGGGAGAAGCAGACTCCCTGCTGAGCAGGGAGACTGATGCAGGGCTCAATCCCAGGACCCTGAGATCATTACCTGAGCTAAAGGCAGCTGCTTAACTAACTGAGCCATCCAGGTGCCCCAGCAGTGACTTATTAATAGCAAGGCTTAACTAAATGTCATATTTATCAGTAGTATTGCTATCTTAGTAAATCCTTAATATTCTTTACATTTTTGTCCCTTTCAGTATTTAGCATTTACGTGTGGCTTAATCAGAGGTGGCTTATCAAACTTGGGGATAAAAAGTATTGTCACAGCTGAAGTGTCTTCAATGCCAGCCTGTAAGTTGAATTCACATTTCTTAAAAATGTTTTCAGTGATTATTTTTCAAGTCTGGTGTTTTTTTGTTTGTTTTTGTTAATTTAAAGAAAATTTAAAATGCTAAAGCCATTTTGTTTTACTTTTATCAATTTTAACTTTTAATGTAATATGTAGCATATTTTATTCATATTCAAAGATTTTTAAATTCATAATGGACAGTGATTTAAGAAAGTGTGCTAAAGTAATCCAAATGTATAAGACAGTTTAAGTGGTGATTCTTTTATATATTTATGTATTTATTTTTATTTATTTGAGAGAGAGCAAGAGAGAGTGAGTGACAGAGCCGAGCCAGGGGGAAAGGCAGAGGGAGAGGCAGACTCCCTGCTGAGCAGGGAGCCTGATACGGGCTCGATCTCAGGACCCTGGGATCATGACCTGAGCCAAAGGCAGATGCTTAACTGGCTGAGCCACCCAGGTGTCCCTATGTATTTATTTTTAAAGATTTATTTATTCTAGGGGCGGGGGAGGGCAGAGGGAGAGGGAGGGAGTCCCAAGTGGACTCTGTCTTTGGTGCGGATCCTGACACAGGGTTCAATCCCAAGACCCCAAGATCACGACGTGAACTGAAACCAAGAGTCAGATGCTCAACCAACTGCCCCACCCAGGTGCTCTGGTGATTCTTAACTTTTAAAGGAAAAATTTCTGCATTATTCTTTTAAGATAACAAATTACCCTATAGCATTGAAAATGTTTTTAAAAACAATTTTCTAGAATAAAGCTAGATAAAGCCACTAGTCTTTTATCGCTAAACTCCTTTCCAAAGATCTTTTTACCAAAGCTACCAACCAAGAATAAAATTGACTTGAGCTTCACTATATTTCCTTTCTATTCACAATGATAATAGGCAGTGAAATACCCAAAAGGTAGGAATCACAAAGAGAAGCAAAGACACCTATTCACAAAACAAATAATCATCTCATAAAAATGAAATTGACTTTATTGAGTATTATGAATGAAAAGTGTGAAAAGATGTTTGACATAGCAAGTTTCTTCATTGGAACTACTCTCTAATACAACAGAAAATTGATGTTTAGGCTTTTTTTCCTTGTACCTAAAAATCAAGGAATGATTTTTCCTTTTTCCTTTTTTAGGTAAATTTCAGGTGATGATACAGAAGCTATAAAACATACTGAAATGCAAGGCAAGGCTTCAACAATGTAAAGAGATAAATTATTCATGTATAAAGTATTTCAAGTAGCAACGATTTAATTATATTATTGGACATTTGTATTGATATAAGCTATTTGCTAACTTATGTAATGAAAGATGCACTCTTAAGCAGGAGTAAGGTTGTAGTTTATTAATTTAACACAGACCTTTTTAAAGCAGATAAAGAGACATTCTATCATAACATAGATTTTACTGTAACTATTCAGAATGAAAA